AAAAANAAAAANAAAAAAAAAAAGAAAAGAAAGAAAAAAAAAGATACGAAACCCTGTAAAACACATTCGTGAGGTACTCTGAATATGTACACGTGCATACATAGACATGTATACTCGTTTCGTTAAATCGCGCATCGCCGTTCACACAGCGATTATTTTGTGTGCGTGTGTGGTGCGCACGCGCGCCCCACATACATGTGTATGTATGCCCGCGCGTGTGTGTACGTGTGTGCTTATGCCTGTGTGCGCGACAAGATATGAATGTGTGTATTTCATGGTGTGCGTGCGGCTCCGCGTGTTTTTTCTCTTTGTGCGTGCGTGCGCTCGTAGGCACGCTTGTACGCGTGTGTGCGTAGTGAATTACGTCATATAGATAGATCATATGTGCTTTCTAATGATGAATAATTTTATAAATATAAATATAATATCTCGATCTTTCACGTGTACGTTTATTTTGGAAAATTCGCGCCTGGTCCGCGTGGATTCGACTATTAAAATGTAATTAGTTTTCATATGCTTTATTTTTTTTTCGGTGTCACGTTCAGTGATAACCGTGATTATCCTTTTACGAATACACCATCCATTATTATCTGAAACTTTGAAAAATTTTCGGTTTGATTAAAAATAAACCAACTCGATAATTAATTCATATATTCTATTACTTAAAATAACGATACATAATAATATAAATATAAAATTATAATAATCTTACCATTGCACGCAACAGTTTCCTTCGTTATAATTATTCTTTACCATTTTTTAAAATTGCAAAGAATATGCATTATCAAGTATTATATGACGTTATGTATGATAATTGTTAATTCATTCTATACTTATATGACTTTTAAATAGAGATTCGATGATAATGTTTTCATGGCAAGTATGCGTCTATCATCATTGATTCCGATTATTAGTTTTCTTGATAGAATCAAAGAATATTAATCTAGAAGCAATTTATTTTTATTTTATTTTTTACTTTTCAAAAAAAAAAGAAGAGATATTAAAAAAAACATATTCGCAGAAATTATTCACGTGAAAATTGTCGTGCTCGTTCCATCATGGTTTCCATTCCATTCGATATCTTTTGTTGAATAAAACACTTTTATTCGGCTCAATGCAATTACAAGTCGTTACACAATAAAAATAGCGATACGTATGATATACTGAATCATTAATCAATTAATTCAACACGATCTGCGCTTCTATTGTCTATCGCGCAATAGAGCGCTATCTATTGGCAGTTTTAACGATGGACATTTCGTCCTTGTTATCGTATTTATTTTTGGCATTAAAAACGGCAAGTGACCGTATCCTGGTGCTTTACGTTCCTTCGTTATCGCCACACGGAATAGAGCTTAAACTAGCATACTTCGAGAATATTTCGTTATATATGTATATATACATATATGAATATATACACGGATTCGCACACTTCTACGCATAGTTATAGCTACTCGTCGCATCGAACATCGTTTAAGCCGCTTCCGATGGCTCCGTTGTTCGTTCCGGTTTACGTAATCTGCCACCTTTCTTTCGATAATGATACGGAACGCGCCTGTTCGGTCCTCTCGTTCTTCCTATCGGTGGTTTTTTCTGGTATTGATAGTCCGGATAATGAACGACAGGCCGAGAATGTGGCAAATACCGAATATTGCCCACTTGCTCTCTTTGCCCGTTCGATATGATTGGCTTTAACGATTTCACGTCCTCCGTTACGCGACGTCGAAGACAGACAACGCAACGACTTACTCGCGATGTGTGATCTGTCTTCAATGTTTGTGGAATCGGTTTACGGAACATCTCGTAATCTTTGATGGTGGTTAACCAGAAGGTAGTGGCAGTGGAAAAATAGTTGCACGTGCCTTTACTACGGCACTCGATGAACAGCCTGATGCGAAATTCTTCCAAACAAGAGCCGGGAGAAACTAGAGATTGGCCACCTCCGCCATTGCCCACGTCTCGATGCTGTAAAATTTTCGTTTTACATTGATATTTCTTTTTGATCATGCTATTTTGACAACTTATTATTTGAGTATATACAATGATAATACGGTAATAATTTGAAAATTTGCTGTTTGAAAAAATGACAAATTTACCTTTGGATTGGAAACATTTGTGCGACTGATGACAATATACATAAATGCGATTGTTATTAATAGCAAGGAATGACGGATATATTTACCATGAGGAAACTATATCCGATCCAAAGCTCTTCCCAACCACCTGGACACTGTGGTATAGCCATAGTTTGACTGTGAACCGCGATTGCCCGGGTTGGGGCCTCGCAAACCGAACATCTAGAGATGTATCTGCCAACTTGAGGTGCTGGTATTGGAGCCATAGACATAGGCATGGGTTCCGTCGTGCTCAGCCAGTAGCTGAACTCTTCTCTGTCTGCGTAGTTGCATTGATTGTTCAAGTTGCAGAACGTGAAGGCATAGTATTGAATTTTACGACGCAACTTCCGGACCG